TCAACTATGTTACCCTACCTGAAAATTCTACTGCAAATTCTATATATATTCTTAATAATCTAATTGAGGATGCTATATGTAACTACAAAGATATATAGCTTTTGTCTCAAGATATGAGTAAAGCCTATAATTCTGTCAATCTTTCTCTATACCAACATTCACTTGCTCGATTTGCCTACCAACTTTTATTATCCAAACTATAATTAATATTTTTACTAACTGCTACAATCAGGTTATAACTAATCTTGAACTAACTTTTTCATACTATATTCAAAATGGTATTAATCAAGGTGTAACTATTACTCCACTTCTCTGAAGAATATATTATAACCCACTTATATCTCATATCTACTCATGGTTTTCTGAATAAACTATACAAATATCTTGGATCACTAGTCTCAAGAATAGATTATTTAACAAACTTCAAGCTAGATATTCAGTACTAGTCTATATGGATGATACTTTCTGGCTAGCCTTCTCACAAAATAAATTATCAAAATACTCTCTACTGCATAATCATTTTACAATATTCTAATATACAAGTTAATCCTGCTAAATCTATTCTTTGTACTAATAACCCTTCTTCTCAGTATACTCCTATTATATATAACCAACACTTATTACTCTTATACTTACCTTATATTCCCTTCAAATTTCTTAGATGCTGGTTCACACTCAATAACAAATTCTCAAAACAAACACAACTTATTATTGAGAAATCACTATACCTTATTCAAATTGCAGATACTAAATGCATTACTGACATATATATTTGATATATTATTAACACTATTATTATACCAACTATTGAATACCGACTTTACAATCTTGTACTTAGCCAACAAATCTGTAAACAAATACTTTCACATCATATTAAACTTGTTAAGCACAAGGCTAAGCTAAACTGTACAATCTCTACAAGTACTCTTCTCCACCTACAACTTTATAACAACTTCAACATTATATTACTAATTATATCAAGCAAATTAACAACCCTGATCTTCTAGATACTAGCTCCTGAATTCATCTTCAACAACTCCAAAACAATCTTTGATCATCTACAAATATCTTAGCACATTCTAATCCTACTATTGATAGTCCTAATAAAAACTCAACCAACTTTAAAATTCTTAAGCTTTTTAATCATCTTGGTATATCAATTACTCACAATTTAATTTATGAGATTCTATATACTTCCTAAGAAGGCTCAATATCTCTTGAATCAATACTTTTATCATATTCTAACTATATTTCTTTTAAGAAACAACTTCACAAACTTCATTTTCTCTATTTAGATCAACTTTCTATATATGACATTCTTGCCTCCTTAGCTAGAAGCATATTGTACTAAGACTTTGTAAAATTCCTAGAGAAAGGAAACCTCCTTGGTTTATAACTCTTGAAGATCTAGTATTAGATCACAATAGTAACAGAATATTTTATGAACAATATAAACTTCCTGATATTATTTACTATAGCTTTTCTACTGGTCACTTTTCTTTAAAATCAAAGCCATAGTTTATAACTACTATTAAGGACCAAATAATAGTAGGCAAAGCAAGAAGACAGACCACCCCAACTGGCCTTGTTCTTATTACACACTGGCAATGCTCTTTTTTACCACAATTTACCAAATTATATCCAACTCAATCTATTAATTTTAGTATATATTCTAGCTGTTCTCACAATTCTAATCTTATTACCAATAGATATACAATATTTATTTCTATTAATTTAGCATCTAGATTTTTCTGCATTTACAACTCTTAAGAAAAAACTATTAAACCTTATACTAATCATTTAGATTTAATATATTCTATTGTAATTCGTCATCCTCTTCATATTTCACTTACTCCTAGTATTTCTTACAACCTTGCTTCAATTCCACCTATATTTGAATCTGGATCTAATATACTTCAAACTATCACCAACTCTAATATTCAACTTTCTGAAATTACTTTTTATACAGATGGCTCTGTCTTAGACTTTGGCATACAAGACTGCTTCATGGGTATTGGATGGGTACAAATCTATTAGAATAATATATTACACAAATTTCAGATACAAATCAAATACTGGCCATGCTCTTTCAAGACAGAACTTGTTGCTATATTGTCAGCAATTAGTACTGCATTAGCATAACAGAGGTTCTATTTTATTGGCCGCAAGTATGCAATATGCAGATCTTGATTTATTAAATCATGATTGGCTAATTAAAAAAATATATATATCAAAAAAAAAATCATCTAGATTAATTTTCATTCTGCTGTTGGGACTAAAGTTTCGGTATAGTTAAAGTTTAGTATAAGAGATTAGTATAGTTAAGGCGAAGTTTGAAGTTTTTAGTATGCTTAAAATTTCAAAGTTCACAAAATTAAAAGCTTTACTTTGCTGTGATCAAATTTTTTCATATTTATCTGCCAAGTCTCATTGCCACCAAGTTTTGTCGCTACCAGTCTTGTTACTACCAGTCTTGTCATCAAGTCCTGTTGCTACCAAGTCCTGTTGCCACCAAGTCTCATTGTCAAGTTTTGTTGCTGCTAATTTATTTGGAGTAAATTTTTGTGGTAAGCTTTCTGCTACAATACTGTATGATAAAATTTTTTTTTAAATTAGTTTATGTCTAACTATTCGTGTTAAATTAAGGATACAATTGATTAAGGAAAAATAAAATGAGACTCCAACAAAACCATAGACCTTGTGCAGTTATTAACTGTCTATACACTAATGCTAAATACCGGGTGATTACAGAACTCGCATATAAGAAGTATTGTAAAAAATAGATGCTAGAGATATATCTTTACCTTAACGTTAGAAAGCAACTTTGCCACCCACACTATTGCAAGATTATAGAGGCCAATAGGGCCAACAGAATTATAATTTAAAAAAACTAAAAATCTAAAAAAAAAAAAGCATTGGAAGTGATAGAGCCCTGAACAAATAATCACAATATAGGTAATGTATCTTATAATTTAATATTTTATAATTAAACACTTATATTTATTAATTTAATATCATTATAGATCCTACATTTGCTTCGAATATAGAAGCATTAACCAAAGTGTTGTATTATTAACAACGTCAGGAATATAATTGTCTTGAACTTGATTCGGTAAAATTTGAATACATGATAGAGAATACTAATCCTCAACTTGAGGGTTTTTTGGTAGTATGATAAATGCAATTATTCTAAGAGAACGTTCAGCATACAATATTAATAAAGCCAAAAAATCTATTGTTAGCTTGTACTATATGATTGCGGGGTTGTATAACAAGTTTGTTAATAGACATAAATTAGAAGTAGTATTATATTTAATAGCATTAGATGCTACATGGGAGGCTATAGACACAATAGCAAGCCTTGGATACTCTGCATGTATAAAAATGGTAGATGAATTTCGTAAAAAATTCAAAAAGAGCATGCAATAAAAATTGAAAAATATTTTACAAGACATGTATATTATATATGTTATTGAAAGTTATTGAATAAATGTGTTTGAATATTAAATCTGTTTTTTTTTTTTTTTTTTTTTTTTTTTAATTAATTAGAAAAATGCGTTTCACATTTACAATATAGATGATTATCATACTATACATGAAAATCGTTGACCAGATATAGTTTCAGCATCAACAGCAAAGCATTTTGCGACTTTTGTTGCAAAACCTATTATAAAATATCCATCTGTGCCTCTTATCTTTAATAATGTATCAATCCATAATCTGGTGAAGGTTGAAGCACATAGAATTTGTTGGTATTTGTTTCACAAATACAAAAGAATATTTGATGTATCATATTCGGACTATCATCTTTTACAAGGTTATTTAGGTGTTAAAAAATTTGATCTAATCGAAACTTTAATGATACACCATTATGCTGATAATCTAGTTGAACGAAGGGAGAAGAGGTCAATGAAAGGTCTACAGTTAGTGGGTTTTAAAGAACAGTTTGCACTCTGTACAAGATTATGTAAATATTTTAAATGTCATTTTATTATTAAATAATAAAACACAACATCTGATGGACAAGTAGCACCAGTTGTTGCTAACTAGCCTGGTAGATATTTATCTGAAAGATATTATATATGCAAACAGTCCTGGGTTTACAACATGAATTATTTCAAAAACTTGAGTTATTTTTGCTGATGTTGGGTCCCCTCTACCTGTCATTAAACAGTAGAGAGCAAGTGGTGTTGGTACACTATTCTTTTTTTGAGAAGTTATTTTATTTTGTCTTTGGTGAAAACAAAAAGTGTGTAAAAAACCCTACCCTTAGTGAATAAATCTTTTGTTAAAACTTTCACAAAATGTATAGACTAAAATTAAAGATAGCATCATTAAAAAATTTGGTTCACATGCAAAGATATCAAGTATCAAACTATACTTGACTTGCTTGATAACTTAGTTCTAGCAATACTTAATGTTTATGCAATTCTATTTCAGTTGGGCTAGTTTAATAAATATATAGAATCAGTTTTTCGTATTTGGATATTCTTTTTGCGTTAGAAACAAAAAAACTACAACAAGGCACCTCTTGTATTTTTGGCAGATTTGTTTTACTGGATGGATGCAAGACATCCTTTTTTGAATGTATTACAAAAATATTTGCCGAGTTTCAACGAATATTATGTAGAAAACACATACAGCAAAATTAGAGCAAATATTTATCCAAATGCAACAGCAGACAACATAATAAAACAGGCCTATGTTATAATAAATTATGATCTTACTTTTAAAAATATATATTGTAAAATTCAAAAATATCCTTATGATATTAAAACACTTAAATTTTTATCTGATAAGACTAGTCTTTTTTTATTACAATATTTTCAAAACATTTTTTATAATCATGGGAAAAGTATAGCCAAGAATATTACCACTACCACCACTGAGGGCATAACTACCACTAAGAGCATAACCACCACTGAGGGCATAATTACCACTGAGGGCATAACTACTGCTGAGGATATAA